TAAATAACTCGGAAGAGAACGATCATATTAGAAAGTATGCTTGATATTTCATGCCTTCGTCGCCTTCGTAGACTTTCATGTCGTTCTGTGTTGATGTCATGGTTTATTGAATCAACCAATCGGAATGATCGGGAGTATCACTTCTGTTGTTTTTGAGATTTCAAACTAAGCCATATTCTTCAATTTCTTCAGCTTAGCTAAGAAATTCTTATTTTAGGGTATTCATTTGATACAATTCATCTACTCTAATAGTCTCTCTGATTCTGACTGAACGATAAGGTAAGAAATAACATCAATTCGTCGTTTTCAGATTTTCAATCACTTAATAATTCGGGAAAATGACTTTGTCTCGAATTCCAAAAGATGTATTCATAATCGTACTAGTTAAATAAGATAAAAATTAGGTAAAACCTGATAGCGGAGCTCCCAAAAGATATGCATGTTGGATGAAGATGTGATGCAAGACACATTGGTCAGATTTTTAGTACATGTTTTGTCAAGACTAATTTATTTTTGCTAACAAAAAAATTCCATGGCACTACATTAGATAATTATTAAACTTTTTCTCTTCAGCTTTGTTGATGCAAATCAGTGATATATATAATTATATGTAAAGAAAACCACTTATTTTGAATTCTTTGGTTATTTACCAAAATAAAACTTCCTTAGATAATCTTACAGAAATCATAAATTAATATTAATTCTTAATATATTTTGAAACTTTGACATTTTTCAATCATACAGGAATTATAAATAATATTAAATGCATTTTGGCAGTTTTGGTATTTTTCAATCATTAACTCATTGTCGACTGATGTCGATTTGTTGATTTTTGAGCTTTTTCGACCCTAACATCTTGATAAAATAATTGACTTCCATATAAGGTGCTGTCAATAAAACTATTTCGGATTTGAATTCCCTAGGGAGCATTAATTTATGCAGGGCTTTGTAAATTTAGGTCAGACCGTTTGTTTATCGACTGGTTGAGCCTAAATTTACCTAAAAACCCGTTTATAAGTGTTTTTTTGAGCTTTTTGCTGCCACAGGAGCCCCTAGGCTTGCATCATTAAGCTTGACTANAATTCAGACTGAGTAAATTGACTATACATCTATTCCTGTTTTTATTGTGACGCCTGACCAATTCGCTTTAATAATTTTATAACGTTTATTTATCTTTATTTTATTTTACAAAATTTACCTCAAAGGCGGGGAGCAACCACAGAGCTGAGCTCCATTAACGGTCTCCAAAATGACGTCTTCTTGAATTTCTTTTCTTTTTATTTGGCATCGCAATCGTGCAATTCCTTTCACAACTCCTAGAAAAAAATACAATAAAATATGAAGTATAATAATTGACGTTGATTAAAGCTTTGTTCACTATTCAAGTCAGGGGCGCTGATCATTGGAAACCCTACAGGGGATTTACCTGGTGCAGAGAAAGAAGCCGTSGAGATTGGTAACCTTCTCGGTGTTCAACCATTGATAGGAAAACAAGCAACAAAAGAAGTCATTTTGGAGAAACTAAAGCAAGACGTGTCCGTGATCCACTTTGCTTCACACGGCAGAGATAAAAATGGTCAGATCTTACTTGCTCCTTCTACTCCTCCGATGAATTCGTGTCCAGCGGTTAACAAGGCCAACATCTTGACCATGAAGGAAGCACAGGAGAGCGGAATTCGTGCTCAACTGGTTGTGCTGAGCTGTTGTCACAGCGGTAAAGGTGACATCAGGTCTGAGGGAGTTGTTGGGATGGCTCGAGCCTTTCTTGCTGCAGGAGCTCGTGCTGTTGTAGCGTCATTGTGGGCCATTGACGACACAGCAACAAAGGTCTTTATGCTCAAATTCTATTCACATCTGAAGAAAGGAGAAAGTGCAAGTTTGAGTCTTCAGCAGGCAATGAAGGAGATGAGAGAAATAGAAGAATACAAGGAACCAAAATACTGGGCGGCCTTCTTTCTAATTGGAGACGATGTAACCATCACAGTGTAATCGAACATCAAGGCTGGGTTGTTGGACGAACATTTTTAGAACATTAATAAGTTTAGTTTTGTAGTTTTCATAGATAAATGTACCCTGACTGATAAAGTGCAAATACTAAAAGTAGAGTGATCGCACTTAAACCGCACAACTGTACAAACTAAATAGTGCTATTTAGTTGTATTTAGTAAATCGTGCATGCGGTACGCAAATTAAATTGAATTGATACAAATGAAGAACTCAATAGCATCTTACTTCCAGTCCACTTTTAGTACAAATTAGTAATACTTAGATTTAATTGTACTTGCACGGTTTATTTAAGTGCGATCTCTCTAGCATTTTGGCAAATTGTTAGTACTTTTCAATAGTTAACGATTATATATCATAAGTGACTCTCAAGTCATCATACAGCTATCATGTTATGTATAGTCTTATTTCAACTGTCCGGCAGTTTTTAATTTTGTGTAAAGTAACGTTAAAAGTTACTGTTTTATAGATGGAAATTATTTTTTTCCCTGATAGTATATTTGATAGTATGGAAACTGTGGACAAACTCTACATCAAGACAATTAATACCGGCAATGAACAATAACCAAATGTTATAAATTCAAAAACATGTCGTTAAACGTTTTAACTTTACATATGCTTNGTAAGATCGCTTTCCTGGTCCATCTGTGGCAGATTTTCCAACCTACCAAGGTAATTTTGGCAATATTTGACAACCAAAGAATGCAATTGGCCCGATATTTTGCCTGTAGGTGCGGGGGAGCTCACACTTATAAAAAAATTCTTAAAAGAAGAATGCTGCACGATTTATGTCCAAATTTTCCGTCTTCCCATGATGCATTTCGATCGTGCATAGAAGTTTGTTATACCTGGTCTTCAAAAGAGTGTTTAAAAATCTGCAGTGCATTTGACAAAATAAAAACATCGAAATGAGGACGTTCTATCAAAGGGGTTTGCAAACCAAGTGGACTTTTTTCTAGGAGAACATATTTTGACGCTACAAATTGAGATGAAATTCAGTGTACTCTGCCGTCCTTCAAACTCAGATTTTGGCATTCATTTCAAAGCAGAGTCATGTTTTGTGTCTTTTGTTTCCTCGTTGCGAAGTTCTTTTAACTGTAAGATCGACAGTATCWACTAGTAAGTTCGTACGAGCAATTTCAGGGCTCTAGCTTACTATTTCGGCAACTTATAGACTTTTGACGCATAGGTCGRATTCGACCTAAATTTCAAGGGGCAGACGGGAAAGAGTTAAAGGAATCATAAAATAATAACAAATGCATTTTGACCGTTTGAAATTTTTCAATCATGCAGAAATAATAAAAATAATAATAAATGCGTCATGTCAATAGAAATTGTTTGCAATTTTGTCGTTTGTAAATTCTTAATAGTTGATATTTTTCAATCTTTACAGGAATCATCAAATAATATAAATGCATTTTGACAGTTTTGGCATTATTCAATCATGCAGAAATCATAAATTCATATTCTTGAAATGTTCAAACTTTTTGATCTTCTAATGTTTATGTAACTACAGACTTTTGCTTACACCAATGTCATTTAACAGACAGAACATTACAGCTGTTGCTTGAAAATATGAATTTTATCTTCAAGTTTTGAATTTATATATCCCACGAGTTATAGCACAATATTTCCATGCACCCATGTAATATCCTTTATTTAACCACACAGGAATGATAAATAATAATAAATGCATTTTKGCAGTTGWWATTTTTCAATCATACAGTGATCCAAAAAAATGATTTATGGGTCATTTATGCAATTTGACAGTTTTGGTKGTTTTTCAATCACACAGGAAACATACGTAATAATAATTTAATCACACAGGAATAACACTAATCAATACATTTTTGACATACAGTGATCATTAATGATAAGTAATAAATACATTTTGACAGTTTTGTAAACAAAGGAATCATAATGTTCATAATGATTATCAATTTTTCAACACTTCAAATTCTTTGCTTATCTTTGCTCTCTGTGTATTAAAGAGTTTATTGAAGAATAAAGAGTAAAAATCTGAACATTCAAATAATATCAAGGCTCTCTTTTCAAAATGCATAGTTTTATAAATTAAAACATCCGAGTAGTTTTATGTCAAAGAAGATTATTATTGTGGATAGAATGTACGTGTACGAAACGTGTACACAATTCACACATAATTTCATTGTCAACAAGCTCATTTAACTGAGAAGTTTTGAAGTGTATCAGGTGAAGATTTTCAAATTCAAAAGCAAATTTAAACCAGATTAAAACTGCCAAAGGTTCTTGAAGTAGAAGAATTGATATAAGTTTACTTAATTTGAGCACCAAAAACCGCTTGCACATTAACTTATAATCTAACATACTGCCATTTGTTTAATAACGCCATGGTATCGTCGGAGAATATGTCAGTTCTCCTCTGAGAAATTCTCCATCAATAATCGTTGTCTTTGGCGTTCACTTGTTTCTCGATTTTCTTGAGTCTTAATAAAA